TTTTGGTCTGGTTGTTGTAGTCTAAAAGGATCTATAAGTTCTCTTGATGCCATAAGATTGTGGATAGGTAAAGCCTCGTCCCACATAAGTCCCTCTCCGATTCCTGAACTCCCCCCCAACAATCTATCCTTACCTGGTTCAAGAGTAGCATTCCAATCTCCTACTAAAATGATATGCCTTGACGAATCTATGTGGGTCTGTAACAGGTTTATCATATCCGACCTTGATTGCCAGGAGTTAGGACAGTAGTCTGTGAATAATGTAAACTGTTCTTCTTGATATGTGAAATTTAATTTTATCCAGTGTCCTTCTCCGTCATCTACTTTCACATCCTGTAGTATTATTTTGTTTGCCGCTATAGTCCTTTTATTCTGTAGTATAGCTACTCCTGATGAATGTGGTCTGGCTGCTGGAGCCTAGAAGCTTGTTTTAACCCACCTCAACTGCTTTAATATGCGTTGCTGAATTTGTTGATGAGCCGTAGATTCCGTAAGATGGGTTTCCTGTATACATAAGAAATCCGGTGGACTCCTACCATACCAGTCAGAGTACCTCCTTTTTTTGTTTTTTGTTTTTTTGGGAAATTAAAGGACCTACCCATTGCTATGGGATGAGAAGTGAAAGCTTTTTTGTTTTTCTCTATACCCTTAAAGCAAGCGAAGGGCCCAGCGTGACGCCCCAACCGGGCCCAGCAGAAACCGGCGCGGAGGCGGTGGGTCCCAAACGGCGCGGCAGTGGAGGGGCGCGGGACAAGGAGGACGCGAGGCAGCGAAAATGCGGGCGGAGCCGGAGGCCCCGGGAAAGGGAAGAAGGTGGTGGCGGCGGTTTGTGGAGGCCCTGGGAAAACCGCGGCGCGCGGAAATTGGCGGTGCGGGTTCGTGCAGGGGCAGGGTAAGGGAAAAATGGCGCAGGCGATAAGGGCACGCGGGCTTTTTTGCGTGGGTGCGGGGTAGGATGGTGCGGTGCGTGCGCGGGCCTGCAGGCTTTTTCCCCTGGGTGCGGGACGAGGGAGGGTCTGTAGGGGGGGTACGGGCCACGGTAGTTATCGCCTCTCTCTCTCTCTCTCTCTCTCTCTCTCTCACACACACACACACACACACACACACACACACACACACAAACGATTCATTCCGATTTTGCTCAAAAAATGGCAGTGTATATTTCCACGTTTCAGCGGAAGATTCATTCCGTTTTTGTTCATCGTATCGATGGAATGTGTGTGTGTGAGAGTTATCGTCTCTCTCTCTCTCTCTCTCTCTCACACACACACACACACACACACACACACACACACACACACACACACACACGAATGATTCACTCCGATTTTGCTCAAAAAGTGGCGGTGTATATTTCCATGTGAGAGTTATGGTCTCTCTCTCTC